TTATTTAAAAAAAAAAGGGAAACAAGATTTTTTTACGTACATTTGATTCTTCGTTTGCGTGTCGTATATTATTTATCCGCTCTTTTTGTCCTTCAAACGTGGACAGCAGAAGGACCGCTTGTTCCTGCAACGTCCTAAAGGAAAAGCTTACCACAAAATGAATTTTGCGCAGCGTATATGCTGAATGTTCTAAGTACCCGTCACCGTAGAATCCTACTACTTTTAATGGCTGTAACATAAACAATGCATGGATAAAGTATTTTTAAATTCAATTAATACAAGTATTCATAAAACTTAATACTAATTTTTAAAAACTGAATGAACTCTCCTTTAATTTCAATTTTTATAAAGCAGGCTATGAATTCAAATTTGTCCATTTAAGATCACGTTTAAAAAAATATATACTAGTTGGAACAAATTTTATCAGTAATCAGGAACAAGTTTTATCAGCTGATTAGCTGAATATAGATATACTCAAAAAAATGTTCAAACTTTATATTTCCGATTTTTATTTTTAAAGAACTATGGAATTGTCGAAATAAAAAATTTTTGAACAGAAATAAAAATTAAAGCTGTTGATATATAAAAAATAGATATCTGTTTAAAAATGTTGAATTTCTTTCCTTCGCCTACGAAATACAAATTTTGTATTTCTTTCTTTCAGCTGCAAAAATAAAAATTTTTAATTTCTTTCTTCTATCTACAGAAATAAAAATAAAAATCAAAGTGTTAAATTTGCAAGAAATGTTTATCTATTTTTGCAGGTGAAAGAAGGATTTCCCACGTGAGTATTTACCTTATTTCCACAGCTAGGCTCAACGCCATAATACTGCTCCGCCATTGGATCGTATCCCTCTTGAACGATGATGTTAGACATGCAGCCAAGGAAAGAAACTTGACGTGGTAGTATTAATTTATCCGCGCGGAAACTAGGCGGCACACCGCCGATATAGTATTTCGCTTGCGCTAGGTCAGGTATGTCCTCTGTTTTGGGCTGAGGCGTTGGTGCACCGATTCTCTTGTCAGCTTCCCCGCCGATGCTCAGGCTGCACTTCTCAATATTCTTACGAAGTTGATACTGTCGGAACGCGTCTACTTTGGTCCAGTTTCCAGTATTGTATTTGTGCTTTGATGACATCTCCATGCTAACATTACCGCCATATCCCACGTGCAGGATCACTTTTCCTTCTCGTAGGAATATCATGATATGTTGATTCTGCGGAAACAGGAACTTTCTTAAATTAACTTTTTCACTGTGCTAATAGTTTACAAGCTGTTACACTTAATATGTCATAAACTTATAAACGATTAAAAGTTGATATTTCTAATATTTGATATCTTGTATATTATAGAACATTCTTAAGTTAATCCTTTCGCTGTGTTAATAGATTACAAGTTGTTATACTAAATATGTCATAAATCTATAAACAATTGAAAATTGATATCTTTAATATCTTATATCTTTTATATTAATATATATATGGCTGTATAAACTAGAACCCTGTAACAGAGAGAAATGTTTTTCAAGCTTGTAGGGTAAACTCGAACGCCAAAAGGGTGAAATATACAGAATGAATGAAGTTTGCAATACATTTTTTAGAAACTGTTTAAATTACAATTCAAGTTAAGAATTTTATAAATAGTATTAAAAATTCGAAATTTGTTAAAAGAGACCAATAGATCGTGGACTTTATGTACTTAACATTGTTCATTATTTCCCTTATTAAGATTTCTAGTTCAATGGCGTCATTGACAGAGAAAATCAGTTCTTATTTTTCGCTTATGAAAAATAATTTGTAAGTAATTTATAATTAATAGGAATTACATAAATGCTCGTAATGTATAGATTTACCTAGGATTAACTTGATAAACACAGATTGTAGAAAATTTTAACAACATAAACAATAATAAATAATGAACATTTCGTACATTATCTGGGTTGATAGCCAAAAACAGTAAAGCATTTTCGTCATAGGTCCGGAAGCTAATCGACACTCCGAAAGTATATTTGTCGTATGGTCCTGAGGAAACCCGATTTCTGACGGCATAACCTTGTCCATTGAAACTGTAATATGCGTCATCCCTGGCATCTTCCACTCTATATTATTAAAAACAAATAGAGCATGTAAAATAAATTCAGTGGATCTTGAAAAGTAAAGTATACAAAATGATTAATAATTAAAAATTAAATAGAAAATAAACAATCGTTACTAAAGCGTAAGAATAGGTTCTACTCTATTGCATTTTTATAAATGCAAACTATGCGAGATTACACTTATCTTCTGATTTTTATAAATAACAAGATAATAAGTAAGCTGAAGTTCATAATACTCGTTGCTGTCCATAATTACCTTTCTACGCAGGCTTGACAAGCCATATCCGGTGCTGTGGTGATGAAATTCCAAAGACCGATAATTTTACCGTCTAAAATGACTTGGTGCACGCAACCCGGAAGTCCATTCATCGCCATAAGCTCCGTGCGCCTACGCTGAGACCTAGGAACACCTCCAATCCACACGCGGTCTGACGTGGTAATATCGAATCGACCGTACTCCGAATCCGATGAATTCGTCACATACCGATATCCTCCGGATATTGATGACTGTTTCCGAACAAGCAATTTACCTACGTGACGAATTCTGCAATTATGAAATATTTTCCGTAAAACTATAGTCACAATCTATTTGATACAGCTAAGAAGTAGAACTTTAACCAATCTTTGAATCATTAACAGAAACTAACAATTAATACAATGATTTTATTACAATAAAGTGATACATTGTTTAATAAAATTATTTTCGTCATGCATATTGAAATATTAAATCAATTGTAATGTTTATTAATTATAACTATTGGTTACCATTAAATATTGTTAATTATCAATAATGATTAATTTATAATTCTTTCATTTTTATTACTATCAATAATATGCAATTAGAATTATAAATATTTTTTTCAGAAAGTGTTTATTCTCTTAAACGTTTGTTTCAGGTAACATTTAATGTTATAACATTTTGTCACTCGTAAATTAACTAATTTTATTGGTTTCATAACATTTAAGAATGTGAATATTTTTCAAGATATTTAAAATCCCATATTTAATTTTCATAATTCCATTATACGAAATAAAATCCGATGTTTCATCTTCATAGACCCATTATAAAAACTAAAATCCTATCTTTAATTCTCATAGTTCCACTATAAAAATAAAAATCCCATATTTAATTTTTATAATCCCAATATAACCATTTACAGCACATATTTATCTTTTATAATCCTGTTATAAAAATGTATATCCTGTATTCGTTTTTATAATCCTATTATAAAAGTGAAAATCCCATATTTAACTTTTACAACCCTATTATAAAAATTATTTCTCAGAATTACTTATTAGCGTTATGTAAATTATACCGTACCTTTCAGCTTCAATACGATACCACGATCTATCATCCTGAAGATCACCGCTCTCGATCACTTCGGGGTGAGTCAAAACTCCTGTACCTCCGCCAACGTTCCATAGAAATCTCACTTTCCTGTTAAGAATCTCCAAAGCTAGAAAATCATCCTATACAGAGAAAAATTTATGTTACACATTCCATATATCTTCTAAATAAATCAAATTTACTTCTAAATAAATTCAGAATTGAAGTTTGGGAAAATGACGCAGTAAACATACATTTACACTGCTTGGCAAGTAGAAAAGGGCACCCTCCTTCCGCCCTTTGGGGAGCGCGAAAGTGATTATAATGGTGTTCGTTGATGTTGGTTGCAATATAGACGGTCTATACGATCGAATGCATTCTTTACCGTCGGCAGACTTTAACGATACGCGAATCTACACGATCAGAGAAGAATTATACAATAAAATGTTTTTTTTCATAATATTTGTAAAATATAACGTGAAACATGCTATAAACCGATTCTATGTATCGGTATGATAAAAGAACGTTATATAAATATAAATATTTAAATACTTTATTTTGGATATAATAAAGGAGATTTCTTTGAAATTTAATTAAAACATTAATATAGAAGGAACTAATGATAGAATATATTGTGAAACAATTCTATTGATCAAAGTGATGAAAGAATATTACATAAACATAGATTTTTAAATGCTTCATTTTTGAAAGAATAAAGGAGATTTCTTTGAAATTTAAGTAAAGAATTAATATAGACGAGACAAATTATGTAGGAAATTACTATTACCCCGTCAGCAGTATTTCTAGCCTCGGTGATTTTGTCTTTAAGATTCTGTAATTTTGTAGCTAACGTATCGTTCCACTTGTCAAATTCATTTTTCCTCTTTACGGCCGCATTCGATAAGCTAATTAATTTTGCGTCTGCTTTCTTTATATTACTCAATGCCTCTGTCACTAAAGTCATGGTTTAAACAAAGAATTAATATGTAAATTGTATACAAAGTAAGAAAATGTTATGATGAAAGATTGATACAAATATATTGTCTTACATTTTTCACTGGCTAAACTGATTTTCGAGTCACCTTCTCTCTTCAAATCGTTCAATTTCGGTTTCAACCTTTCTGAAATTCCTATGTTGTAATCATCAATGAGTTTCTGTGTTTCTCTGGTGCCTTCTAACACCTTATCGTTGTCGTTTAATAAATTCTTGATATTTTCACGTACTAAATAAAAAACAATTCTTAATTTCGTCAATTTTTATCACAAAATTACATTCTAATAGATAATTTGAGAATATAAAACAAATTCTGTTATTCAGTTATTATTTGTACGAATACCCATAAATATTTATACATATTTGGTATAGGAAATGAACTTACATTTTTTACTATCATCTTGCAAATTCTGCAACTTCAAATTGACTTGATTGTCTCTTATTCCAGTACTGTTCAACGTATTTTTCAAAATCGTTACTGCTTGCTTTTGAACGTCCAATTGGTCATTCGCATTCTTAACCATCGTTCCGTGCTTTTTGGCATTTTCCCATTGTTCGGTCGACGTCATTGATATTTCTTTCGTATTGTCTAACAGTGACTTCGAATTGTCACCATTGGGAAATGCCTGATAAAAAATTAAAGAAAACTTCTAACATACTTTAATAAAATAAATGTCTAAGTAATTCAAATCTAATTACACATAATAGTAAAATTTGAACTTTAGGGTATTTGAATTGTTTGGTCTTGTTTTATTCTTAAAAAGATATGACTTATTCGAACTATATGTTTCAAAATTATTTATAAAGGAACTCTAACTGTTTTTCAAGTATTATATATTTAATTTCAATTGTTACACAACAATATTTTAAAAATAGATTTGCAAGGCACAAGACTAAATTTAAGAAGCTTGGAATTGATGTATTTAATATATTTTTAAATTTGAAAAATCACCTATTTTTTTACCGTCACAATAAACAAAAACGATTAACTTTAGAATTCGTTGTATAAACATTTTTTATTTTTCCCAATAAAAACTATAAAATCTGAAAATTTTGAATCGTGAAACATTTCAACTTTTTTTTTTACCTTGTTATATACGTCCTCGGTAAGTTCTTTGGCCGCCATTGCCGTAACATTCGCTAGTCTAATACTATCGACGATATTCTTGTACGCCTGACTGGCCTTCAACGGATTAGCTGCGGTGTTTCTTGTCTCGGAAAACAGACTGCTCGGCAGAAACGCCAAGTTGCACTTTATCAAGTTATCGATCGTCAATTATGCAAGAAAGTAGCATACAATTAAGTGACTTTTGTTCGCCACTGGAACTGTCTTTTCCCGTTTCATTAATTTTTATTCTCTTTTTAATTCGTTTAAAATATTTTGCTCCTGAGAAAGTCTTGCCAATTGGTACCATATAATACAGGGTGTTTAAGAAAAATTTCTTCGTAACACGAAGTTTCTATATAAACATTTCCTATAGATTTCCTTTAATTTCAGTCTAATTACGTAAATCGGAAGGATGGATTGTAAACAAAAACTTTACAAAACAGTATGTTACATATAAATAATGAATTTTTATTCCGATGAAATACGTTTATATTTTCATAAATAAAAAGCGTTTCTTTTGAATTTCGGTTTTAAACACTCTGTATAGTTTTTAGAATTACAGAACCAGTGCGGAACATATGTAAGTTATCTTCAAGTAGTCAAGTGTATATTCTTATACAAAGTCTGATTTCATTAAAAATAATCAATTTTATTGTTTTAATGATGTTTGATGATGCCAGTAATATTTTTTTAAATGCTACGTGAAAAAATGATTTTCTATTATCTTTCAGAGAAACTGACATTCTGTTTACTTAAAAGAAATTAAAGGTTGCAAAACGCGAAAAGTCTTAAGTCTATATCATAATATATTTCTTTATATTATTTAAATGTTGATTAATGATATCCTTACCTAACGTACTGATCGACATAGTCTGTTATATTCTTCGAATGCTGCATAGCTGGCACCACGTATTTTTCATTATATTCATAGTTTAATCTGTACAGTAATTCTTCCTTCATAGTTAATTTTTCAAACCAGTAAGACAATTTGTTTTGCAATTCTGGGAAATCCTACAATTTAATATTTTTTTTAGTAGAATATTTCATGTAAATGATACATAGAAATTGTTATATAAGTGTATAAATCATAGCTATCGAAACATAGTTGATTGATTTTTTTTAAATGAAATTATTTTTTTTCTATAAGCTTATCACCAGTAGCATTTGTTTATCTTGTAGTCCTGAATTTCACATTTTCAATGATTTAATTATGACAATACAAAGTAATGAAAAATAATTCATAATCAATTATAGTAATGATATATTTTCACTACCACCATCATTTATACTAATGATATACTCATCTTATTCCGAATGATCATAAATTATTATGGTTTATTTTTAGGTGAAAATTTTATTTGCACACCTGTATGTTGTTTTGAATGTCAATAATGAAACCACGTGTCTCGTCAGTTAATTTTTCACCTTCACTAATGGATTTATTAACTTCGTTTGTTATAACGGTAATGTCATTACAATGTGCTCTTGCTTTCGTTAGACTGTCATTAATATTGTTGTATGAACCGTCGTACGTGAACAACGTTTCCATTGTGCTCTCTATGACGTGTCTCATGTCGTTTACTTTCAACCAGTATTCCTCTGCGTCATCTTGAGCGATTGCTAAGGGTTCGGTTGCATCGTACAAAGAGTTTAGTCTCTCGGTATATTCTGCGACATCCCTACAAGTTTTAACATGTTTTAATACGAGTGTATGCTGTTTGCACCAGTATAACAGAATAGTAAAATTTTATGAATATTTTTAATAAAATCTTAAATAAAATTCGAAATTTTTATATTTATTGCATGTATTAATGTAAAAATAAAAAATATGTATCAATTAATATTCAATTTATTATTAAATAAAAATGATGTAACTATAGTTAATATATAATTTATTATTAAATAAAAAGTATGTAACTGCGACGAATATCTCAAAGTGTACATTTCACTTTTATTTAACAAAGCACATAATGAAAAAGGATACTACCATATCTTACTTTGAATTGTTAATAATTTAGCGATGAAAATATTAATTCGTATAAATATTTTTAATTTAATAATAATAAGGAATGGTAAAATGATAAGGTTATACAATATAACTTATTATATGTGATGTTTGCATACAAATACTAACTCGAGGAAGTTTTCTATTTCCATTGTTCTCCTAGGTAGATTTACAGCTTTCAAATTATTCAGTAGCATTTTCGCCATTTTCAAGGCTTTCTTGATTTCTACCCTTTTGTTATCGTTACTGTACTGTGTTAGCTGATAGACTGTTTCTGAAATTACAAATCGAATTTATTATTCGTATCGGTGGTCTACAATTCTTAGTAGACAAATTAATTTCACTTTTTACCTTGAATGAATTTTTTTAAGTTCTCTGCTTCAATCTTCCCGCTAAATATATTGTTCTTAAAGTCGTCGCTTTTTAATTTTAAAGTATCTGCTTGTATTGCTTGTTCATTTGCCTGAGAAAAATCAAAATAGATTTAATATTGATGAATATCAAGCAATAAATTTTGAATTATTTCATAAAAATGTAATACAACATCAAATATACGAAGTTAAGTTGAAAATAATATAAATTAATAATAAAATAAGTTAAAAATAAATTTTTTAAATTCAATCAATACATAACTCACAAAAGCACTAGTAAAAAGAAGATATCGGAATTGTGTATCACTCAACACGCATACTTCTAAAATTTTTTTAAATATTAATGAGAATTAAAAACTTGTTTATAATTCAACAAATAATTAGTTCAAAATTCGTTTTTAATGCATTCTACTACGAAGTCGTAAGTTTATAATGTTTGTGTATAGTTCATCTTTATTAAATGAAATTGTTATATTAAAATGTTTAATAACATATTAAATTTAATAATGAATAATAATAAATTATTACGTACAGTTCTAAGTAATGTTTCCGCGTGCATCATAAGTTTCTTGTATTCGTGCCAGGGAATATTCTTCAGTCTCTGCTTTAAACGATTTTGAAGATCAGTTTCTGCGATAAACGCAGTAGCGTTGGATTCGATGTACGACAGTTCTTCCCATGGTGGTGGAATGTAACCATTAGCTATGTGACTGGTACGATTTGCTAGTTCTTGAGACAACATCTCTACGGTGTCAAGCAATACGCCAGTGCAATTGTCATCGCACGCTAAGGAAATATAATAAAAATAAGGAGGTTAACAAAATAAACAATCATTTTAATGTTCCTTATTCCGATATTTTTTAAATGTGAATTTTGAGTATACATGTTTTACACGTGACTGAATGAAACTTTTTATTTTGTTATTATATTTGTCACGTGTAGAATGTTTTATTGAATAGTAAATGATGTAAATTTATAATATGATGTCAAATTTAAAATAAATTAATTATATACATTCCTTAAAAAAATCTGGATAAATAATTGTTAAATCGTTTGTATAGCTTTACCAAAATTATAAATATTTAGAATAAACAATTTCATTTTATGATATTCTATTTACTAACTATGTAAGGAACAGTTACTTTTATAATTTTAAAATACATTATTATCCACTAGAAAACATTGATTATTAATCGTTGTCCAATTTGCATAGATTTATTAAAACAATAGTAAAATAATAGATGGTTAAATGAATAAATTTCATTTTTTAACTTACATGTGCAAACGTTGTTTATAAAAACATGTCGATACGTTGTGCATTCAGAGCAGTCTCGTCCTGTAGAACCAGGTTTGCATCTGCATTGTCCGGTCTCCATATCGCATTCGTCGCTTACACTCCCAGCAGGACTGCACTTGCACGGTGTGCATTTACCGCCAGGCAGATCCGGAAGTCCGTAATATCCGTAAGAGCATCGTTCGCATTTTCTGCCAGTATAACCTTTGATAATACAAACATTAGTCTATTCTTATCGCTGAATTTATTTAGGTACTCAATTCAGTTGCTTGTTCTTCAAAATAATTAAGGAACCCAATAAACGAAATTATCTTTTCATTGAATTCAAAATATTTTAAATTGTTAAAAAGATCGCGTTTCTAGCACTGATACATTAAACTATGAATGTATGTGTAAAATCATATTCGTCAGATTTACTTAAAAAAGCCTTAAAAATCAAAACTGTTGTTCTGATATAGGATTTATTAGGTTGACAGTAAAACATAAATTTCGTTGATATTTCAATATTTCATCTGCACAGAACGTTCACAATTTCAATAGATGCAATTTTCTTACTAATTCTTTTTAATCTTCAAAAATGTGAATGTATCTTTCAAATATTTTGAATCTTTAAAACGATCTGTAAGCTTTTATGAACTGCCCACTAATATCGAATTTTATCGTTGTTACAACTTTTAATAATTATTTTTAATTCTCAATGTTAACAGACATAAATATGACACTTCTATGGTGAATTATTTTATTTTATAAATATAAATTTAATTTTAAATAAAAAATATAAAAGTTACGTACCAGGTTTACAAACGCAAATGGGTTCAGTGTCAGCGCGGACCATACAGGTGTTTGAAAACCTTTTATCCGTTTGAGGACAAGGGCATGGCATGCAACCACCGAAATCCGGATGTCCGTAAAAACTGTCTGCGCAGACATCACACCTGGGTCCCGCAGTATTCCCGCGACAATTCTGCGACAAGATTTTCAAAGTTCACTAGCTAAATATTTTATATTGGGTCATCCCATAAATAATACGATTTTTTTAATAGCATGCACTACATTTTTAAAGGGTTTACTTATGAAAGGTCTACCAAAAGATTGAAAAGTGCTGTAGATAATGAAGGAGAATATATTTTATATTAAAATTAATTTTTCGAAATAAAAGAAGTAAAAAAACCGTATGATCTATGGGGTAACCCAATATTTTCAACACTTTATTTGTCAAGGAAGAGCTTGAATTTTTATATTTTGAAATCATTTTTATATTTTGAATACAAACATTTATTTAAAAACTTTTTCAAACCCTTTTTTAAGTGTGTTTCCCAAAAATCACTGATCTTTAACTTCAAAAAGTTAATAAACAGCTCTCAGTAAAATTATAAGTAAATGATCACATACTACAAAGGAAAATAATGTAAAACAATTCTAAAAAATATATAGAATTATTGCTTCAAATGTTTCTTTTCCCATTCGAAATATTTTTAATAAAATTTTACCCTATAAAGGAATTCTATTGATAAAATCTCCAACGCAGCAAGTAGACTGGAGATGATTATGCATTTTCCCAAAAATGTATAAAATATCCGACGTATAGTAATTTCTATTTATAATGTTTCTTAGCAAAAATAGTTCTATATTGTAATTTTGTTTCTCCAATTACATTTAAAAAATTTTAATTTTCAGTCTAATAAAATTAAATTACACTAAATGCACCTACCAGACAATGTCCCGTTTCTCTATCGCATATCTCGGATCTTCCGTTACATTGGCAGCGTTTAGCTTGTCCGACGAGATCAATAACTATAGTCGATGTGACAGTTGTGTTTTGATACCACCTGTAATACCCGATGCTTGGATCCTGGCAGGATGTACTGTTGTATTCCGGTGGACATTGGCAAAACTCGACCCCGGTCGCAAATAATGGCGTATGCGTGGGTGTTAATACTGCGACGTCTATGGAAGCTTCGAGTAAACTGTAATATCGAATTGTAAGATGCTAATGGAATAACTAACAAGGAACGGGTTTCACAAAAGGTTATAAACATACGAAATTTAATGTTGATTCTATAAAATTTGTTCAAAATAAATATTTCCTTCTAGTTAAATTCGTATAAAGAATTGTGTTTTTATATATTTCTGCTAAAGGTCTGTTGCGCTCGAAATGTTTTTTGTTTAATATTTTGTTTTAACTATTATTATTAATACTAATACTACTACTGTTAATACTATTGATACTGATAATATTACTATAGTATAATAGTATATTAATACTATTACTATAATTGTACATTTATATTATACAACTTAAACGTAAATAAAAATCAACATTAAATATATAAGCCGTCTTTTTTTTAAAGCGGTATAAGTCTTGGATGCATCATAGAATATAGTATAGTATAGTGATTTTTAGATTGTACATTGGAAAAAATAAAAGAGGATTTATATAAAGGAAATTTCACTTACGTTGCTCTCGAGAATTCCACGTTATCGCAAGCTTTCACGAGAATATGTTGCACGTTCTGCAGTGCTACCATCAGCACTTCCCTCGTGACTTTATAATCTGGTCTATTTTGTAGCTGCCATAAAGATTCGTGAAATCTAAAATGAAAAAAAAAAGTGAAAAATTACATTTTAATATATACTTTAAATAAGTCTTATCAACTCAAAATAGAATTATATTAAATACAATCCACATATAATTTAAAAATATAAATTATAAATTTGTTAAAGAATTTTGAACCTTCATTAAGAAGCTTATTATGTGGTACCTGACTTCGTAGTGATTGTTATTCACGGGTAAAGGTAAATAATATTCCAAAACAATTTTGTTGTTTCCTTGTAATTGCACGACTGGATATTGCAGGGTTGTTCTCAGAGGTATTCCACCTTCTGTTAAAGTTGTAAATCTTAGAAATCCGCCGTAGGAAACGACCTTGAATAATAAGTTACGTTACAGTGTAATTTATTTTTTTCTGTAAAAATTCTTGCAATCTTAAATATAATAAAATTGAATAATTCGTAAAATACTCTTTGTAAGAACAATTTGCTATGAACATGTCCAATTACCTTGTCACCGAGAAAGGGCTCAGGTAACATCCAATAAAGTGGATAATTGTAATACAGATTCGAAGGTATCGTGACATCACCTTCGAAGTCTGGAATCGTCGAAAGTCCATTGGTTACGTTCAAACCGCCATTAGTAGGAGTCAGAACAATTTGTGATCTATATTTGGAAATCTGCATAGAAAAAGTATTTTGTTTTCAATTTCTGTTTTACTTTTTACCAATGTAAGTAAAACACCTCTTTAACAAATTATATAATATTGAATAATGTCAGTAATTAATCGTTGAATTTATATTATTATCACTATATCAATTTCACATTACATGGCACTCACGAGTAAATACAAGAAAACTAATAGAAGGAAAAGAAAACAATACTTATACAAGTTAATTGTTTCATATTAAACGTTATGTGATCTATGAATATATATCATATATTTTGAATTTTGGATTTCCCTTATATTTGTTACACACACTACTATAAAATAATTCTAAATCATATTAATACTTCATCCACATGGAAGAATATTTACTGATTACATAAGACCGAAATATACTTGAAAGAATATTAATATTAAGAATAAGAATGTACTTCAAATGTTTGATACATAATTTATTGCTACCAAAAGGATATTACAATCATGTTTCAGAATCTGCAGTAATTATATTTAAATAATAATAAAAAAGAGTAAAATAATAATACTTACTGTAATATCGTTAATAGTGTCATTTACGTAAAGCGTTCGCGGTCGTGTTAGTCTACGTTGCCCCCAGCCGAAATCAGCTTGCTGGCAAGAAGTTGTTCTTCCAAAGCAGAAGCACTCAGTGCAACCTTTAGGATTGTCCATTGCCAGTCCAAAAGTATTTTCTCGGCATTTATTACACTGTCTTCCCAGTACATGTTCCTAAATCAGAAATCAAAAGTAATCCAATTTGATCACGTGCAAGTAGCCATAAAGAAATTTATTATGCAACTTATTCTATCTTGAAATTATTCATATTTATTTTCTCACGTAAGGAAATTTTTAAACCTATAAATATATAGTAGAATATCAACGATAAGCATAGAGGATTCTTAATCTTTACCATTAACGAAAAAGTAAAACCGAATTCATGGAAAATTGATTAAACACATGTTTGATCTAAAAATATATTATACCATACATTTTTGCAACGAGACTACTATGTTCGCGTTAAATATTATATATTATTAATTAATATTTTTCTTCTCTTACAAGATTGTATTATCAAATTTTTCATTTTCAGCGAAAACTTAAGTTATCCGATTTAAAGAAGATGGTTTATTCTATGAAGAAAGATCTGCGAAGAAGAATGTATCCTTATAATCTTTATAAGTAAATATAAAACATCTTTACTTTTTGATAATTGTAATATTAACCCTTTTGGACGCGTATCGGCAGATAGCCGCTTATAGTTATTGATTATTTAGACTTTAGATTATTTATCGATTATTTATTTTTGTAATTTTAATAAACATGAATAATAATATAAAAATTGTAGTCTCGCCTGCAAAGAGTTGCCAAAAAGACAATACATTCCACAGCGTAATTAAAGCAGAATTTAATCAGCATAAATATTACTCAACTCTTTGGAATTTAAATTAAATACTAGTTTTCTATTACCAACAATTATAATTTAGACAAACATAGGCATAGAATATGTCTAGAGTTTTTCTCTTTTTTCAATAAATTATTCATAGCAAAGTAGTTGTACCGATGATAGTTAGGAAGTAAATCGTAGGGCAAGGGGTTAAAATATACCCTGTGTTATTCGTCCTGCATTTGACAAGTACGCACTTCATTTTTTTATTTTATTGCGTGCAAACGAGAGATTATTCAAACTAAATTCCACAGTTAACAGGTTAAGGATTAAAGTAGGTATTACTTACCTTGCACAAACACTGTCCTTCGTCGTCGCAGTCACAGGGCCCGTCATCGCACTGCAAGGTACCCGTTAAATCACAACTGCACGGTCGACACCTCGGATAACCGTAGTACCCTTTCGCGCATTTCTCGCATCTGAGACCGTCGTATCCTATTCTGCACGGACATTGTCCTCGAAGATCGCATTGAGACTTCGTAGAACCCAAAGTGCAGTCGCAAGATCTGCAGCCTACTCCTGGGACCAAATCCCAGGAGCCTGGTCTACATCTGTCACAGTGTTCGCCGAATGTCAAGGTTGGACATATGCAACGACCTGTGTCAGGGTCACATATGTGACCAGCTCGCACACACGGGTCGCAAACTGTAAAAGTAGCAGGATTTTTTACCTTATTATATGATTTTACTTGAATTGGATGTCTTTAACCTTAGCATTCCACTTGATTTTATAACCTACTAACTCGAAGACATTTTTATAGCACTTCTGATGAAAATAAGAAAATGTTATATTGTAATATTTCTTAGATTTTTTATTTTCCATTTTAGGAGGAAATTTGCATGTGCAGCAAATGCAATAATCTTAGGGTAGTTTTTTAAAATTTTGATTATTAATTAATCACCATTAAATAATGATCAGTACTTAATACTGTAAATGGTGTCGTAGTGGAGCCTATAGAGTGGAAAAGGTTAATATTCGTTAGATAGTGGATATATTATGTTGGCCAAAGACTATATCTAACGTTCTTTACAATAAGAAAACTTAAGATTGACATTTAATGTACTCGGAAAAATTTTCGAACTCGATTAAATTAAATTTTTAATAATGGAATTTCAAACGAAAAAATTATTAATTTTCTCTGAATTTAATCCGGCACATCATATATTTATTACTTATCTTTGGTTGTTTTTAAACTATTTTTTAAACGTTATTATAGTTAATAATAATGATATTAATAATAATGTACGTATTATAAAGTTTATGAAACTAATACATGAAAAAGAAAGAAACTAATTGCTTTAAAATTTTTTAAAATTACCTTATAAAAATGAAATAATTAATTCGTATTAAACTTAAGGAACTATTTTGTAAGAATAGAGTAATCAATTCATGCTAATGTTAAAAAATCTTCTTTATGAAAATAGAGTAATCACGAAGTATAAATTATTCACCTTGACATCCATTTGAAGAAAATCCATAATAACCAGGTAAACAGACATCACATCTTGTTCCACCAACACCTGGCTTACAATAGCACTGTCCTGTAACGTCATGGCAGGAAGAATTGTGCGCACCAAAAGGATCGCACTCGCAAGGAACGCATTCCGCTCCCGATGCGAAACCCCAGAAGCCGGTCTTTAAAATAGCCATGAAAAGATCATTAAAAATTAAATTTATTTGTGGAATAGATTTAAAATTATCTTGTGTAATACTTTATTAATAGTCATGACCAATTGATTTTTATAATTTTCATTTATATCGTCTATTCTTGAAGAATTTTCGAGGAACGAAACTAAAGAAAAAAATATGATAGTTCTTTAGAAAAAAATTGTTATGCTGTCTAATAAATTAAAAGTAAAGAAATAAGAAGGAGAATAAATGAATTATATATTTTATTTTAAAGTAATTAGTAAAATTCATATATATACATATATTATTTTAAATATTAATTATTCTCATACATACTATTCTAAAGTAATTAGAAAAATTCAAATGTAAAATGCAGGGAAACAATATTTATAACGCTGTTAATAATAAATACTTGTGATTTAAAATTAATGTTATTTTAAATTATTTTCTTGTAAGTTTCACTCACCAAACACTGGTCGCACTGTCTGCCGGTCACGTTTGGTTTACAATGGCACTGTCCTGTTACGATATCGCAGGCAGTGTTTATTGAACCGAGATTACTACATCGACAACCTGTAAATATTTAAGAAACATCTTCAAGTAATACTATGTATTCTTTTGTCTCTTTTGTTTATAGCTTACAAGTACTCGGACAGAGTATTTTGAACTATGTCAGAGATTTATGTAAGATTATTAATAAACTACAGATTCTTATGCGAATTTACATTTTTATAAGCAAGCATTGTGAAACTCAGATGAAAAACGATTTTATTTCCTGTCTTAAAAAATTAAGTGGATTAAAAATAATATGAAAGAAAAATAAAATTCTGTTAGACTTTCTATGTTTTGTTTTTTGAACTTTTTATTGGTATACTAAAAATTCAGTTTTGTGCTTATAGATATTGTTGATATTTATGTTATTGCTATAGATTAATTATTTAATTTTACAGTTATTATACAAAATTATAAATTTGATATAAACGGTATTGAAATTTCAACATGGTAGAAAAATATGAAGTATTAGTTGAATTTATTAATTCGAAATTTTTATAATTAAATCAGTTTTGAGGTTTTTTTCAGTATTGATATCATTTTTTTTATATATGTCAGATAATTCATAAAAATTCTTTGTTCTTCATGCAAATTAATTTAAAGAAATATAAATTTTTTTATTGTAACGATTGAAATTTAACAATAGGAACTAACTTTTTCATTATTTCATAGTTTTAGTCTCAATTAATACTTGCATAATTAATTTTACTAAGGAAATTTATAAAATGCTTTGACTTTACAATTTAGGAGATCTAATAAAATAATTTAAAGAGAAATATATGGTGTTGGCTTTGAAAAAATTATAGAGAGTTAAATTACACATTTAACCCTTTGCACTCGATAGGGCTGTTACAGCAAAATTATGAAGTTTAATATGCAATATTAAACTTTGTATAATGCATCAATATGTGAAACATTTAAATAAAATGCCTTTGTTCTTTAATTTGCATATTTTCCACATCTTATTAAGGAATATTGAATATTTCTAGTAAAGATCATTTAAGTTTGAAGGGTTAAATCAATTTAATATTACTTATACACATGAAATGATTTGTATCATTGGACTCGAAAAAGAAAAAGAAAAAAATATTTCTTTTCGATCGTAACTATGAATGGTATTAAGGACAGTCTTACAAGTTAGGCAACAATACGTATATGCATCTACATAAATCGAGATTGATATCTGATCAATTCGAACCTTAGTCACGTACTGCTATCGTTGTTGATGCGTGATCAATCGCATTTCGCAATTAGCAATGTCGCCAAGACGTATACAGCATTGTATTCAAACGATGTAAACCTTTGTTGGCACTTTCACGGTTGCTGCCTCCGAGTGAAACGAAACGAAATATTCAATAAGGAATTCATGTAAGGTAGGCATAAATTGCAAACAACTACTATGAATGTCAGGCCAATTTTAGGTGGCTATGAACAATGAAAACAGGTTTCGATTTTTCGTAATGCGTTCGTACTTTTTATGTGACCCAGATATTTAGCATAACGTAAACATTATTTACGATAAGAGCTGTCTAATGCGAAACGAGAATTGGTTTGATAAAACTTCTGAATAATTATAATAAATTATAGTATGTTATCTTCATGAGTCACGAATTGGTGTTTATTGACATTTTCCTTTGTTTCAGAGAATAGTATGTGTCTCTAAAGTTCTAAATTTTCAACACTTTGTACAACTGCACTGTCGGTCAAAAGTTTGGAATCACTTGATACGTAACAACACAAATTAAATATTATACATCTTATAAATATATAAAATAAAATACCAAAAATTATATATCTTTATACTTTACTAATATACATATGACCACGTTCCTTTATGATGCACAAAAATTCCCCAATGAAAGTTGTTCACTAAAAAAGAGTTTGTTTTTACTGTATTGATATAGAATACAGTTGCAATACGTTGTGCTTTCATTAACTCTGCGCACTAGAATTTCTTTCGCGATTGTGTTCGTTAAAATCACTTTATTGTTAATAATTGAATAGAAATAAAAGAGAATTCTACAATCTTCCTATACCCACAGTTACTTTGAATATAGAAAAATAATATTAAATTTCAATGAAGAAAACTGAATATTATTTATTTCTTTGCTTAATCTATTTAAAATCTTTGCAACAAGTTTGACATGATATCATAAGGCAAAGAGTTAACACTAGAACTACTAGATGAATTAAAATGACTATCACTCTACAATTTTAAACTCATTTCTAAATATTAGTTAAACTTCACCTCAATTTAACTAAAATTCAACCCAAATCATAAATAAATTGCAAAATATTAAATACATAATATCAAAATTATTTCTGTATATATCTCAAAAACTAAGATTGAGCGACAGTAACATGTATAGAAAGAAAGTTGCTCAAAATTATGCCCTTAACGACATATTTCAAGGTCATTATAATTAAACCTGCGTCCATTAAATCCTACGTCAATCATTGTTTTTTACATTTATTTGTAGAGCAATGTAAATTTTAATTTATTTCGAAAGAGCATCTTCTATTTTCATTTCGTTGAATTTATTTCCAACACACTAAGTTACACTTGCTATAATCGCACGCTACCCTATCAAGCAAATAAAAATACCAGTTATATTTGTATTTTCATAATCCGACCGCGACTTTCCATTAGCTCTGAAGAAATTATGAAATCTGCTTTACCATAAAACGGAATTTCATCAGCGACGGAGTATGATTCGCAAAAAGCTTCGCAAAGTATAACTATTTATCGTAAACATGCAACGATAATAATCACGATGCACAGTCAGAGAATGCTTCGAAGCAATACGATAAATCAGTCTGCCGTTGAAGTTCGCATCTAGCGTAAGGCAAAACGGGTGGAGGGGGATAAAAAAGGAATTACAAGCAGCGTAAGTATGGCCATACTTTTAAATAGATAAGGTGTCCCGCGGCGAAATTTATTTTCAGCGGCCATTCCACGAAATCGTAAAAACCGGATGATTAACAATAAAACCGGGCTCTGTGCGTATGCGTTCCATTTATTTTATCGTTGTAATATCAATTCACAGCTTCCTCGCGCGACGGCATAAAACACAAGAAATTTTTAATCATCGCCGGGCAGAAGGAGTTAAGGGCTCGTTACAACGAATATGACACCCAAGAAAAGGCATGATTAATTCGGACAACCATGACGCTTGAGGTGGCTCGTTCCTTGTTGGAAAGAAACAATACAGTAGATCCCTGTATAATGCGATTTAAAAATTCCTTGTTACAGCGATTTTGCGTTTACGAGTCTAGCATTAGCATTGAACACTAAAATTACCGAGCAGCTAAATTGCCATTTCGAAATTCCTCTATGGAAATTCCAAGATCGCATCTACCGAGACTTTAATTGATTTACAGTTTAGTTTCCTTAATAATTGCTCTTAATAACTGTTACATTTCTAATAATTGCAAACAGAAGAAATTATGAATGGCTCATTTTGGCTCGTCTGGTAGTTTCAGTGTTAACCCTTTCAAGCTTTGTGGTGTGCTAACAATACCACTTTTTAAACTTCTAATATTACCACCGCCCTATTTCAAAGATACTTTACTAGTTATTAGACATGCATTTATAAATCACCTTGTATACTTATTCCTATTGTTCATTGATCGGACACGAAATACAGGTCAAGCTTTTCGTAAGAAATACAGCTAATTATTAATTTAATATAAAATACAATGCAAGAAATAACATTGTAAATAATAAGAACAAAAAATGCTCGTTCTCAATTTTTTTAACAAAAACGGAATAGAACAGGTGTTCTTTTTCATTTGAAGATACTGGTCATTCGATAGGATTAAAGATAGGATTAAGTTCAATATGTAGGTACCTACGAATCGGAATCAATTTCAATAACCGAGTCTCATTTTATGAGTTTCGATTACTATTCTAAAGCAATAAAGTTTCAATGAGTATACCTCCAATGTGATCATTTTCTACAAATTGGTTTCGAACTCTAGCATGAATATCTATAGGTTTCGGAAATGTATTTATGAGTTATTTGATGTTCGAAAATTTGAATGTTTATCAAGTAATATACGGATTCTATGTACGAGTGAGATGTGGATAACTGATGTTATTGGACCTTTAATGTGTTTCGGTTACTGAGAACTAAAGTAGTTATAAGCAGAAGCCTATCGTACGTTATAGGCTGTGAAATGTAGTCATAAAATTTTGAATCTACTTGGATAGGTTTCAAGTATAATTGAAAGAATATACTTACTGTTTACACTTTTGTTAAAGCACAAAGAGTTCGAACTTATTTCGTCTACATTCAACATTCTTTAATCCTTAGCATTTGAGAGTAGTATTGACTCTACTGTTAATGCGACGACTTTAGTATAAATAAATAAGTAAATGTGAAAGAAAATAAAAATTATAGTTTTATGCGAGAGATGGATGACCTGTACCATAAGAACAATTGATATTATTCTGTAGTCTTACAAACGTCTTGTAAAACTATTATAAATATAACGTTTATCTAACAATAAGTAAATAAGTAAATAAGTAAATAAGTAAATAAGTAAATAAGTAAATAAGTAAATAAGTAAATAAGTAAATAAGTAAATAAGTAAATAAGTAAATAAGTAAATAAGTAAATAAGTAAATAAGTAAATAAGTAAATAAGTAAGTAAGTAAATAAGTAAATATATTCGACTAACAAGAATCCATTCAACTACTAATACTAATTAAATATATATTCAAAGCAGTTTGAATAATTCCCAACTTCGTGGTCTCTCCCTTCCCCACTTTTCTCGAGCCATCAAGTAACCACTGCCTGTTTGCAGTTCTAGTTCGAGTTTCAAATCGTTCGAGCGTCGCGAAATATATTCAAACATCGCGAGTCTAGCATAGGTTCTATATAACACGTTTGAATAGCTTGAATACCTATCACTAAGTAGTCGTAACGTGTGCTTCCAGACCATCTTCAGAAGTGAACCATACGATCGTGATAATGTGTACCACGGTCGGAGCGTAAATAATAATCTCACATCTCTAA